ATGTTTTAATCTTGACAAATGTCGTCTTATACCAGAGTTTTCTTGTTGCTTTTGTGTTCCAGATGGACCTTGACGATGAAATGACAGAGGTCTTCTATTCAAAGCTTGTTGAGCTGGAGAAAGCAGTCAGAAGACAGCAGAGGGAGAGAACAGCCGACAGCAAACATTATCAGCAGTATCTCAATGAGATACAGTAGTTTTTCCTCTGTGGAAATGTTAATGTAACGACTGCTTTTAGCTCTCTTTGCCAGATCAAACAGGAAAAGATTTTATATTTTCTGTAGATTGAACTTCCTTCAACTCATCAAGATGTGCAGAAATAAATTCATATTTTTTTCTCAAAGTTCCGCTTATTTCACTTGGAGATATATTGAAAAACATGTTAGAAGAAAAAACAACAGCATACATTTAAGATTAACAAAGCTTTTATGAAAAATTTTTATAGTCACTGAATCACAATAATGGAGGATAACCAAAGGAACCTCTTTCATGCATCATAACAAGTGGAGTGAGGAAAAATCTGCAGAGATTTTAGTTTCAGCTTTTTACCAACAGTCTCCATATCAAAAATGTTATTTTTCAAAAGTCCTGGGGGCCTTTTCATAACAGCCGGTGTTATAAAATCTTCTGAAATAAAGCCTTGTTAAAAAACAGTTCCAGTAAACTGAATTTAGTTCAGCTTTCAGTATTTTTCATTTTTGGGTGGTGATTTGATCCCAACTGAAGCCCAAATCCACAGAAATGGTTCAGCAAACTCAGAATCGGGCATCTAGGAAAAGTCTGTGGGAAAAACTACTAAAAGATAGAACTCCTGTGGATGATTCAGCTCAACGTTCAGAGGTCCTTCATGTAAAACGTTTATAGAAGTGTTTTCCAATTTCCAGCAGAGGGGGAGTAATAACCACGGGTCATTTTATTTAAAAAACTATTTCTTATGGTTTAATATTTCTACGCCTTTTTAAATTTGGTAAATAAGGTGGCAAAGGCATTTTTTAAAGTCAAAATAATTGGTGAAAATGAAAATTACAAGGTAACATCAGGTAAAGTGACAGTGATGTTTTTATTTAAAACAAGCAAGCACTTAGTTTAAAGGAATAGTACACCCAAAACATGATTAGCCTTCATTTTCTACTCACCCCCATGCTGAACAACACTCTGGAGTACTTTTTTGATATCTCAGACCAAACCAGACGAAAGTGCGCATTCAGCTCGGCAAAGAACTCATGCTCTTC